CTGATTGCCATGACAATGACAGATGTCACTTCAATTTAACTGTCATTTATATGACATATGTCACTTTTATAGTGAATGCTGTAAATATTACATTTCTTTCGTGTTTACGTGATCATTAAAGGCTAAATAAAGGTGTAAATCGTTCTGAAAACCCGAAAACTTGTTTATATGATACTAAAGTTTTTTTTATAGTTTTTTGTGTGACAGGGGGAAAACAAACGGAAACATAAAAATTCTTCATGCCATGAATAATGGATATTGTTCGTTTTAGCGTTTTTAAAAGCAATGGTTAAGAAATTCTGATTGCTATGACAATGACAGATGTCACTTCAATTAAACATTTATATGACATGTGTCACTTTTATGGTGAATGCTGTAAATATTACATTTCTTTCGTATTTACGTGTTCATTAAAGGGTGTAAATCGATTGTGTTAAAATTTAAGTTTCACAAAACTCTAATTTATTTGTATTTTTATCATTTTAAGCGTTTGAGACGTTCTGAAATACCGATAACTTGTTTATATGATACTAAAGTTTTTTTATAGTGTTTTTGGGGGAAAACAAACGGAAACATAAAAATTCTTCATGCCATATGAATAATGGATATTGTTCGAATTTCGTTTTAGCGTTTTTAAAAGCAATGGTTAAGAAATTCTGATTACCATGACAATGACAGATGTCACTTCAATTTAACTGTCATTTATATGACATATGTCACTTTTATAGTGAATGCTGTAAACATTAAATTTCTTTCGTGTTTACGTGTTCATTAAAGGCTAAATAAAGGTGTAAATCGATTGTGTTGAAATTTAAGTTTCACAAAACTTTAATTTATTGGTATTTTCATCATTTTAAGTGTTTGAGACGTTCTGAAAAACCGAAAACTTGATTATATGATACTAAAGTTTTTTTTATAGTGTTTTTGGGGGAAAACAAACGGAAACATAAAAATTCTTCATGCCATATGAATAATGGATATTGTTCGAATTTCGTTTTAGCGTTTTTAAAAGCAATGGTTAAGAAATTCTGATTGCCATGACAATGACAGATGTCACTTCAATTTAACTGTCATTTATATGACATATGTCACTTTTATAGAGAATGCTGTAATCATTACATTTCTTTCGTGTTTACGTGTTTATTAAAGGCGTAAATCGTTTGTGTTGAAGTTTAAGTTTCACAAAAGCGTTGCGCAATTCCAATACAAAGTGTACTAACGACGCCGATTACGTTGTGCATCCACCCGTACACTAACTAA